TTAAAAAAAGGTCCTGCACAGCATATTTCAAGAAATCATAAAACTGCCCAGATCTCTTATCACCAGAAGGCAAAGTGGAAATAGAAAAAATCCACTGGTCACTTCCTGAAAACCCAAAAGAAAAAATACCACATATATTATAGCCAAAATCCAGAACTCCAGGGTCAAAGAAAAACTATTTCAAGAAGCCAAAATGAATTCAAGTAAGGAGGAGCCACAGTCAGGATGATACACAATCTAGTAGCCACCACATGAAGGAGAGGAGAGCTTGGAATATGATATTTTTCATAGTATTTTGTCTGTACCCTTCCACTTCATTGATCATATTCTTGCTTTGTATTCAAATATATGTACATAACTTATATTTCCCTACCACAGTATACACTCCTCTTTTTTTTTTTTTTGATGAGGCAAGTGGAGTTAAGTAACTTGCCCAGAGTCACATAGCTAGTGAGTGTTAAGTGTCTGAGGCTGGATTTGAACTCAGGTCCTCCTGACTGCAGGACTGGTGCTCTATCCACTGCGCCACCTAGCTGCCCCTAAACACTCCCTTATAGTAAGGACTGTATTTTCTTTCATCTTTGCATTGCTAATACCTATCAATCAACTTAGTACAATGGGTTGCACACAGGAGTTTAATACCACATCAATTTGAAGAAAGGTTGTACTTTCTCTCAAAACTTGACATATAAAACCTGAGTGATGCCTGTAATCAGTAGTAGTAAATACTGTACATCCATGTTTTTCTCCTTTCAAAAACATCTCATTACAGGAATTACATTTTGACCAACCCAGTAAATGTTTGTTGAACTGAACGTGTCTTTCCAATAGCACTGGATTTTCTGTAAAGTCTATATTTAAAGGAACTAAGTATGTGTTTGACTCACAGATTGATGTTGTTTTTCTTACTCTGAATATAGGGAGAACTATGGGATCCTTAACAGTGACTTCCAGTGGAGAGAATGCAATTTTCACAGACTAATGAGAATGATGGAAAGCCTGGAAATGGATGCAGTCAGAATGGCTAAAAGGATGGATTACAGGTTGAAAGATTCAGAACAGAGGCCAGTTCTGTCTTTCCAAAAACAGTACCCAATGCTAAAGCCTTCCAAACACTGTAAGTTTCTCCACAAATTTCTAATGTACATCCATAATTGGTTTGCTTTAGTTCTAAGTTATACTATAATGAAATTGGGGTGCAGAAAACCAAAATAAATTCATTATGAAGCCTAACTCAGCTCCTTCCTTGTGAGAGTCATCTGGGGTTTAGAGACTCAAAGCTATGTCTAGCCACTTTTTGTCCCCCAGGAAACTGCCTGAGACCCATTCCATAATTCTCATCATGGAACAGGGACTTGAACCTCTCCATCTCACAACTAGATTACTGACTCTCTGTGATGAGATGTCAGGGCAGGAAGACACTATGGTATCCACAGCTGGTCTTAGTCCTACCTCACTGAGGGCCCCACTTAACTCTTTGTCCCAGCTGTGTAGGTTCCATCTCACATCTGGAACTGGTCTGGTTGTTCACTGCCTACTACTATCACACAAGGGCTTTATGGGCACAAAGATCCCTTCTCTAAATTCTGGGATGTAGAAAAACTCACTTTTCCCTAGTTCAACCTAGAAAAAGTTAGAGTTTTTCAAAAGGAACATACTAAGAAACTAATGACAGCTACAATCATCAAATCTATCTTGTATTGGTTTAAAAAAAAAACCAAACCAGAAGGATCAATGGAACAGACACGGGAGAATCAGAAACAAGGGAACTCAATAACCCAGTGTTTGATAAAGTGGAAATCATAAACTACTGAGGAAAAACCTCCTTATTTAAAAAAAATCTGCTGGGAAAACTGGAGAGCAGTATGGCAGAAATTAGGTTTAGATGAACACCTTATACCATACTCAACAATGCATTCTAAATGGAAACATGACTGTAATGTTAAATATATTATTTTTTAAAATTGGAAGTATTATTTACCAAACAAGAGATAGAGACAATTGCAAAAGATAAAACAGACAACCTTGATTACATAAAACTGAAAAGCTTCTGCCCATAGGTGGGGAGGAAGGGAGAGAATTTGGAATCTAAAGTTTTAAAAACAAAATGTTAAAAATTGTTTTTACACGCAACTGGGAAATAAGATATATAGGCAATGGGGTATAGAAATCTATCCTACCCTATAGGAAAACAGAAGGGGAAGGGGATAAGAGAAAGGGGGGGTGATAGAAGGGAGGGCAGATTAGGGAAAGGGGTATTCAGAATGCACACTGTCTTGGGGTGGGGGGAGGGGCAAGATAGGGAGAAAATTTGGAACTCAAAATCTTGTGGAAGTGAATGTCGAAAACTAAAAATAAATAAAGAATTAAAACAAAAAAAAGAAAAAGAAAAAGAAAAGCTTCTGCCCAGACAAAATTAATGGACCTAGGATAAAAAGGGAAGTGGTCAAATAGGAAAAAAATCTTTGTATAAAACTTCTCTGATAAGGGTTTGGTATCCAAGATATATAAACAATTAATAAATATATGTGTGTGTGTGTGTGTGTATGTGTATACTTACATGTATATGACAAATAGCAATTCCCCAATAGAAAAGGGGTCAAAGCATATGAACAGGGGCAGCTAGGTGGCACGGTGGATAGAGCACCGGCCCTGGATTCAGGAGGACCTGAGTTCAAATTCGGCCTCAGACACATAACACTAGCTGTGTGACCCTGGGCAAGTCACTTAACCCCATTGCCTTGCCCCCCCCCCAAAAAAACCAACAAAAAACAAAGGATATGAACAAATACTTCTCAAAAGAAGGCATGCAACGTATTTAAGACCAAATGAGAGAATGCTCCAAATTATGAATAAGACAAATAAAAATCAAAACAACCCTGAGGTTTCACCTCACACTTTGCAAATTGGCAAAGATGACCAAAAAAAAAAAATTTAAAAAGGCAATAGCCAATTTTGGAGGGGTTATAGAATGAGAGGAAAACAAACACTTGCTAGTGGAGTTGTGAAATGGTATAATCATTATGGAAAGCAATTTGGAATCATGAAAATAAAGTGACTAAAATGTACATATCTTTTGAATCAGAGACACTATTAATGGGCTTATATCCCAAGAAAGCCATCAATAAGAAGAAAATCCCCATATACACCAAAATATTTATAGCAGTACTTTTCTGGGGGGAAAGCAAATGTCTATCTTTTGAGGAATGGCTGAACAAATGGTGGTAGATGGATATAATGGAATATTAATGTGCTACAAGAAATGATATATGTGATGAATATGGAGAAGCATGGAAAGATCAACATGAACTGATTCAGACTGAGGTAAGTAGAGCCAAGAAAACAATATACACAATAACTATAACAATGGAAATGGAAAGAAGCATACACACACACACAAAAAATCAAAACTGAATGTAACAAAATTATAAAGATAAAGGACAACTCAAAAAAGGAGATATGAGAGGACATCTCCCAACTCACTGCTTCATGGAAGTACAGAGAGAGGGGAAGAAAGTAAGCATTTAGACAGTTCTAGCTTTACATATACAAATTCAACTTTACATAAAGAATTCTGAAAGAAATAGTCATTTTAAAAAACATCTATGTTAACTTTACTGTACAGTACTGTGCTCTCTCTCACTCTCTCTCTGTGCTCCTGTCCCTTGGCTCAGCACTCCCTTCCTTCCTTCACCTCCCTACCAAAAAACCCCCTCCAAATGAGAGTAGAACAACAGATGCTGCTTCTGGATTAGGAGCTTGGCTAGAGAACTCCAGTATGGAGATAAGAAACCATTGCTGCACTTTGACCACCTGCTGGTCGCCCACATGCCTGTCTTTTGTCTGTCAGGCTTTTGTTCCCGGCCCCATGTTTCACTCATCCTCTTCTGTTTCCATGTCTACCCCTTTTTCCCCTCCCGATATGTTTCAGCCAGGCTTCTCTGACCTCCATGTATCTTTGAACTGTGTGTTGGTCCCCTCTCTCTATGGCCCCACAGTCCTCTTCCTGCCTCCTTCCCTTCCTCCCTTCCCCATGTCCATGGGCAAATTCGCATTATGATTTTTATGTAGAGGTGTGTGGAATCCATAAAGCGAGAACTGTCTGTATACGGTACTCACTACTTGCCAAGTGACTGTGCTAAGCACTTCATAAATATTATCTCATTTGATCCTCACAACAATCCTGGGAGTTAGGTGCTATTATTACCCTCATTGTGTAGATAAGGAAACTGAGGTTGGTACTGAGCCATTTAGCTGCCTCTAATATTGTTCATGTGTTTGGAATTTTTCAATGTATTGATCAGTTGTGATGATTTTTTTCCTCTTCTTTTTCCTTTTCCTTTTTTTTGTCTTAAAAAATACTAATTGTTATATGGAATGGCTTTCTGGGAGCGAGGAACGACAATGGGTATAACTATGATGATGTAAAAAAAAATCAATAATATTTATTTTAAAATAACATTTTTAAAAGTAGAAAATAAAACAATCCATCAAAAAGGATGAGTATACAAAGCTCACTTCTTTTAAAATCAAAATTTAATTAATTTAATTAGTCTGGCCACAGATTGGCTTGATTGGCACAGTTTATAGGATGCCCCAGAGCCAGTTTCTTTCTCTTATTTCAATTCTAGCTGAAGAATCCTAACCCAAGCTCCTCTTTTCAGTACTGAAGTATTTCCCTTTCCATTTCCAGCTTTCTCCCTCACTCCCTCTTCACCAAGGAGAGAGGGTCTGACTACAGTTTCGGCCACCAATAATTCATATGAGTGACCGCTTACCAATAGAGGACTAACCAATTAATGAATTACTTCCAATTGGAGTAACAAACCATTGCATGTTCACAGCTATACATTATCATATCTGGACAGCATCCAAACAGGCCAAAGCCCACCCAAAAAGGATGTGCCTACCCACCCTGGTCTTGTAAAGAAGCAGGACTCACTCTTCTACACCTCCAGGAACTCTAGCAGTTGAGAAATACCAGTGATAGAAGAACTTACTCTTTTTATACAGGACTTTAACCCTCTCTCTTTTGCTGGAAATGTTCCCCAAAGCCACCTGCACCTTAACCAAGCCATCAGCTACCTAGAGAAGGAAAGAAGAGTAAAAGAAAGGGAGAGAACAATAATGGCAGGTTAACAGAAGCAGTTGACTGATGGAGTCAGGGCTTAGCAAATATAAAAGATATCATCACCAAGTCCCTAGGCTTGACCTACCTATAATACCTACCTCTCCTCCCCCCACCACACTCCCAAATCCTTCACACATCATTCAGTCTCTTCATTCTCCAATCATCTATATAGCCTACCCACTATATCAGGAGATTCCCCCATTTCTGCCTACTAATTTTAAATCTTCCATCGTTTCCTATATTTTATGCTGTCTTGTAACTATTCTCTAATTGCTTCTCTCGGGTTGGGCTTGTCTCTCTAAGCAGAACGTAAGCACCTTTCTCTCTCTCATAGTGTAACTGAGCCCAGTGCTAGGCCCAGGGTTGGTGCTCAGTAAACACTGATTGTCTGGAAGAAAAGGCTGTAGGTAGTGGTGAGAAATACAATGTGAGAATGAAAACTGCTTTCTTTGGAAACTTTTATGAAATCAAACTGAAACCATAGCGAGTTTGTAAAAATTGTACATCAGTTCATACTCTTCTGTCTAGAAATTTAATGGGCCTCATGAATGAGAGTGGGTGGGGAGAGACAGAAGCTAAAGCAGAAAGTTGGAAAACAGATTAGTCAGACAATTCTATTCCCTACCCATTAGCCCAGAACAGATAGGAAAGTTTGCTGATGGAATCTGATTCCATGAGAAGAGTGCAGAATCATATAGAACTTGGGCAGCACTGCTTTCTAGTCTATCCCCTACAGTTTCCACCATCAAATGCAGGGAAAACAATGGCACCAGGGTGGCTAGGTGGTGCAGTAGACAGAGTTCCAGCCTTGGAGTCAGGAGGACCTGAGTTCAAATCTGACCACAGACATTCGACACTTACTAGCTGTGTGAGCCTGGGCAAGTCACTTAACCCCATTGCCTCACTAAAAAAAGCAAAAAACAAACAAAAACAAAAACAAAAAAAATCCAACCTACTTAAGAGATAACACTCAAATAGAGAAGTGTCAGCTTGCAAAGTGAAGGTGAGCTTCATGCATAGAAGATACAGTCGCATCTGACTAAAATGTTGATCCCACTCTCCACTTTATTCCTGTCTAAAGATTTAGATACTATTACTATTCATTTTTTGAAGATCCAACTCAAAACATTCCAGCCAAAGTGATACTCTCCTCCTCTGGAAAGAGCACTCATTATCGATACAACTCATTTGACAATCATATACCACTTTCTGACAGCTTTTCTATTGTGGTTCTGAATTTTTATTGAACTTTTCCTGGGTCACTATAAAAGCTTATCTCTTTAATACCAATATCATTCCCAGTAATAGTAAAATGGAAAGAACACTAGATGAGTCAGGGGATGTGCGTATGAATCCAAATTCTGATGCTTACTATCTGTGTGGGCTTACACATGTCAGTTTAGCTCTTTGGTCCTCCATTTTCTCATCTTTAAAATGTAACTGATCATACGTTTTATGTAAGTCACATGTATGATGGAAAAAGGAGGTGACCTGGTCATACAGTGAAATGAGAAATACCAGATAACTCAAATATCGTGCTGAAATCCCAAAGATATTAAAAAGGACCCAAAGGAAGGACTCCAGCATGTTGGGTAGATCTTTTGGGGAGGATTTACAAAAAGATCTCGATTAAGAACATAATAAAAAGGTATGAATCTACACTTGGGAAATCTGTATGAGAGATCACAGATCAGCCTAAAATCCAATTTGTCTGTCATCTAACTTAAAAGCTCCATGAGGGCTGGGATAGCACCATTCATCTTTGTACTCCCAGTGCCAAGCATAGTATCTGCAACATGGTAAGTGTTTAAACCAAAAAGCAAGCATTTATCTAGAAGAATCACTAGTCTCATTCCCAATTTCTCACCTGAGCTGTACAACTTGAGTTACTCCCCTAGGACAGATAAATCTGAGATGTCCTTTGGCTGAAGGCCTCCTGTGGAGTTTTGCTCAGTTTCTAAGTCAGGGTCTTTCTCAGAGGAGAAGAGGAAGGAGCCATAAGGAGACTGGGCTGAAAATGGTCAACAGTGCCCCAAAATAATTTCAGCGGGTTTATCCATTACCACCTTGTCATAGGGTAGTCCTGTTCCTAATTTTGCCTAAAGTGACTGGGAATTACAACTCATTGTTTTGATTTCCTAAGGTTACAGAATCAAGGTCCATCATTCATTCTGGTGTTTCATTCCCTATTTAAAGAAAAGATTTGTTTGTATATAAACTGCTACAGTTTCAGATCATTTCATATGGCTAAGGATTCAGAGGCTATAAAGAATACAGCAGACAAGCAATGGAGAATGTTGCTCTGTATAATAAGGTGTTCTGTCCAATTCTGTCATCCAACCCAGACTCCTACCTCAAAGAGATAACAGGGAGGATACAGAACACAGGGAAAATTACTGAGATGGAGTCAAGTCGAGTGTCATGGACAGGGCAGGCACTTGAGGTCACAACAGGGATATCAGGGAGGGGGTATCATTGGGGAAAATTTACTGAAGACTACATAGTAGGAAATCAGTGAAGAGTCATGGCAGAGAGGGATTACTAAGAGTTACCAGTAAAAAGTCAAAGGTGGGGCATCATCAGGGATTGGCAGTCAGTGGGAATATCAGTGCAGGGTGAAGAGTCACCAGGGCTGTCAGTTTGGTGACAGTCATTAGGGAAGCAGTGAAGAGAAATCACAGAGGGTCACAAAATGAGGGGGTCATAATAATAGGAAAATATCATGAGGGGTCACAGGGGGGTCAGTGAGAAGTCATAGAGATGTCACACAGTGAGGGTCAAGAAGACACGTGGATCATCAGTGCTAGCCACAGGGGGAAGGGAAAGGTGGTGAGGTAGTGGTCACCAGGCAGTCACTGGGGGGAGGGGGTTGTCACACTAGGGAAGGTGGTCACATGAAGAGGGTGGTCACCAAGCAGTCACTGGGAGCAGGAAGGTTACATGGGGAGGGTGGTCACCAGGCAGTTTCTTGGGGGCAGGGGGTTGTCACACTAGGGAAGGTGGTCACACTAGGGAGGGGGGTCACCAGGCAATCATTGGGGGGCAGGGGGTTGTCACACTAGAGAAGGTGGTCACACTAGGCAGGGGGGTCACCAGGCAGTCATTGGGGGGAAGGGAGTTGTCACACTAGGGAAGGTGGTCACATTGGGGGGGGTCAGCAGGCAGTCACTGGGGGGGAGGTCACATGGGAGGGTGGTCACCAGGCAGTTCCTTGGGGGAAAGGGGTTGTCACACTAGGGAAGGTGGTCACACTAGGGAGGGGGGTCACCAGGCAGTCACTGGGGGGAGGAAGTCACAAAGTGGAGCAGGGGTGGGGTCAGTGGGCAGTCACATCCCTGAGAGGATGGGCTCGAGAAAGGGTCACGCAAGGAAGAATGCTAGGTTTATGGCCAAAACCTCAGGTCACGGCTTGCTCACCTTCCGCGAGCCGCGCGCCCCGCCCGCTCCATACACCCAGCGCTCCAGCTCTTCTACCCTGGCCTGTAACCGCTGCACTTCTGTCAGGGCCGCCATTGCTTCAGCCAGACCCAGGAAAAACTGAGGAGGCGGGACATCCGGCTGATTGGAATGGGATATCCAATCCGGGTGCAAGGAGCATACCTGCGAAGGAAGTGACGACACGAAATTCCCCAGCTGCGGCTTTAGTCCCGCCCCTCTCGTACCAGAAGTGGCCGGGGAGAGGCTTTGTGGATGGTCCAGGTCTAGATAGCTACAACCTCTCACTTTCTGCCCGCTGTTTTCCTTAAAATTGAGTACCCTCTGTGGTCTCCCTTCCAGGCCTGCCCCGCCTAGAGCCTTGACTTGTCCTTTCCTACTTAAGAATCTCCAAGACAGCCCCTACATATCTTGAAAGTCCCCACTTTGGGGCCGCTTTGCCCCATGTAATCTCCCAGCGCCCTCCAAGCCTCAGCCCCTTCCACGCCCGCTCCCCCACCTCAACTCAGCCCCGCCCCTCTCAGCCCTTCCCACTCCAGCTCAGCCCCGCCCCCTTGGTTCAGCCCCACGACTTGCCCCAAAAAGCTCCATCCTGAGTCTCCCCCAAAAACCTTGGGGACCCACCTCCTGTACCCATCATCCCTCCCATCATTGCACTTTCATGTCCACCTGGGGAGTTGCCTGTAAAGTCCTCCATGAGAATGTAAGGTCCTTGAGAGGAGGGATCATTTCATCCTTTGTATTTGTATGCCAACGCCTAGCTTAGGGGTGTGGCACAGTTAATAAATGTTTGTTGATTGATAATAAAATAATCCCTACGCTGTGTGATCGCCCTGTCTCAGTCTTTCACCCCACCTCTGTGGATCAACACCAACTCCACCAGGATTGTCAGGTGCAGACTCCTCCCATCTGTCCCCAGAGTGCTACTTGGTCAATGCCGAAACCTCTGGAATTGTGTGCGAATCGGACAGCTCCCAAGATTATAAATGAGCCCTTGTAGACAACTTCCTAGGAACCTAGGGTCAGTGTGATCACTAGACCCAGAGAAATTACATCCCAGCGTATTGCTTTTTTTTTTCCATTCATTCATTCATTAATAATGAATTGGTAGATGAGATCGTGGAGCCACTGTCTATAATGTTTGATTGATCTTGGAGAATGAGAGAGGTGCTGAAAACCTGGATGTAGTCAAACATTTATTAAGCTCCTACTAGGTGCCAGGCACTGTACTAAGCGCAGGAAATACAAAAGAAAAAGTCCCTGCCCTCAAGGAATTTACCATCTAATGGTTGAAGACAGTGCACAAAAGGAAGCTGAAAGAAAGGAAAGGCTCTAGGGGATAACCTGGGCCAGGGGGCACAATGATTCCAGGAGTGGAAACCAAACCGAGCAGCTAAATGAAAATGCAGAATTACCTGAAAAGTCCGGAGCCCTCCGTAAAGGAAGGCTTTGAGAGTAGTTTATACATTTGCCCTTCAGCTCTCCAATCAGAGGGGAGAGGCAACAGAGGGTGCTAAAAAGATACTAAGCATCAAAAATAAGTCAATCTGCAAGATGATGAGATTTCAGATAATGAGCTTATTCTGGAAGAGACTGGATGTTTGTGGATTTGAAACCAAGCCAAGCAGCTGATGGAAAATGAAGCATGATGTGAACAAATGTTCCAGTTTAAAAAAAAAAAAGAGGGTAGATGAGTCCTTAAACAGGTGAGCTTGATTGCAATTCCTGGCAAAACTTTATAACATATCACAAAGGGATGATTTGTGAGAAATTAGACAAAGAAGCAGTAATTACTAAGAGCCAGCAGGGCTTCATCAAGAAGTGGTCATGCATGTTAGACTAACATCATGTTTTCTTTTGACAATATCACTAGCCTGGTCAGGAATAGATGATAGTACAATTTGGAAGATTCTGGACTGATTGAATGACCAGACCCAAAGCATAGTTATTCTCTAGAAGAATGCCTCAAAGAACTATAGGTGGCCTGTGCAGGTCAATACTTTTAATCAATGATGATGATAATTAGTCATTTTTCAGTCATGTCTGACTCTTCCTGATCCCATTTGGGGTTTTCTTGGCAAAGATACTGGAGTGGTTTCCATTTTCTTCTCCAGGTCATTTTACAAATGAGGAAACGGAGGCAAACAGGGTTAAGTGACTTGTCCAGGGTCACACAGCTAGTAAATGTCTGAGGCTGGATTTGAACTCAGGAAGATGAGTCTTCCTGACTCCAGGCCAGGAACTCTATAGGCACCACCTAGCTGCCTTCTTAATCAATACTAAGAGAAATAGTAGACAGTGTGGGATGAAGTCATAGATGGTATGATTGTCAAATTTGTGCATGACAAGAAGCTGAGAGGTATAGTCTATAATACATTGAATGACAAAGTCAGGATCCGAAATTATCTTGACTGGCTAAAACAATGGACCAGATAGAAAAAGATGAAATTTAACAGGAGCAAATAAACAAAACTACAAAAATTAACTGCATTTAAAACAAACGAAAGAAAAAGGCACTGGGGTTCAATACAAAAAAAAAATTAACTGCACAAATAAAGGAGGAGAAAGTGCGGCTCAACAGGTCTATGAGCAAGTTCTGGGGCTTTAGGGACCTACAAACTGAATATGAGTCAATAGTGTGTTATAGGATCATACAGCTAGAAGTGGCAAAAACCAAAAGGTCCTCTAATCCAGGGAGAGAAGCAGGATTAGAATCAGAAGTTGGCAAACTATGGCCCTTGGGTCAAATCTAGCTCACTGTCTGTGTAGAGCCATAAGGTAAAAGAGGTTTTTACATTTTAAAAATATTTAAATTCCTTTTGTACAATGGCCATACAAAACAGACAGTGAGCTGGATTTGGCCCTTGGGCCATACATAGTTTGCCAACTTTTGATTCTATCCTACCTCTCTCCCCTATTTTACAAATGAGGGAATAGAAACCCAGAGAGGTTAAGTAACTAAGTAAACATCACAAAGGGATAAATCATCAGAGGTAAGATTTTAACCAGATTCTTTTACATCAGAACAAGTGTTCCAAACGGCAGTCAAAAAAACCCTAACAGTCTTCAACTGTATTAAATGAACCATAATGTCTTGGCTTTAAGTCCAATTGTAGTCTACACCAGTCAGAGCACAGCTATAGTAATGTATTAAGTTACAGGCACTTCCTTTCAGGAAGGTCATTTTGACTCTCTGCATAAGGAAAAAACTGCTTACAATTAGGGCTGTCCCTAAGTAGAATAGGCTTCCTTGGATGACAGTTGGTTTCCCTTCACTAGATGACTTCAATTAGAGGCTGGATGACCACTTGTCAAAGATGTACAGTGGATTCAAATATAGGTCAGGCTAGATTAGACGACCTCTAAAATCCAGTTCAAATCCAGCCCCAGACACTTACTAGCTGAGTGACCCAGGGTAAATCACTTAAATCTCTGTTTGCCTCAGTTTCCTCATCTGTAAAATGGTCATAATAATAGCACCAACTCCCAGGGTTGTGGTGAGGATCTAATGAGATAGATTTATAAAGCTCCCAAGCACATAACAGGCACTATAAAAAATGTTAGTTATTATTATCATAGTGTTCAGTTCTGAGTGATGCATTTCAAGAGTGGTATAGCCAAGGTATTCATATGGACAATGGCAACCAGGATGGTAAGGAGACTGAAAACCGAGTTATATGAAGAATGATTGAAAGAAAGCTTTAACCTTAAGAAGAGTTAGTGGACAAGTGCTCTTAATCTTTGAATGTGTGTAAGGCTGAAAGAGGAATTAGAATTATTCTGCTTATATCCAGAGGGTAGGATAATGAAATAATAATAGTAGTAGTAATAATAATAAATAAAAACAATGAAATAGTAAAATAATAGGTGGAAGTTACAAAGAGGTAGATTGTGACTCAATATAATGAAATTTCTGACAATTAGAACTTTTCCAATAATGGAATGGGTTGCTTTTATAATAAACTCACCTTATCATTAGAGATGTTTAAGGAGAGGCTTCTCAGGAACATTGTAGAGGGAATAGAGCTTAGGGTAAAGATGTAATGAAAGATCTCTTAAATGTCCTAATCTGATCTGTCCTGCTGATTCCAGTGCCAGTTATCAACTCCTTGAGGGCAATGATTTTGCCTGCTTATATACTTACTTTTCTCTCCATCTTCTTAACGCCTAGGTCTGGATCTACATGAAGAAGGGAAGGGAGGGTACAGCTGTCTTTTATCTAAATATACAGCCCCTTGTTTTCCTTGCCTCCAAACCTAGTTTCTTTTGTCTCCTATCTCTTCTCCTCCCCTGCAGACTGCCAATATCTGTGAAAGACAGCCTCGAGATGAAGATTCCAGCCCAGGGAAATCTAGTTCTTCAGGAAATTCTCAGAAAGTCACAAAGACCAGACCTCCTGTTTGCTGATGTCAGATAGCCCCTTGTCATAACTCAGTCCCTAAAACCTACCCATCCCTTTGTGCATCCCCCAGACATCCTTTCTTCACATCTTTGTCTCCTGAGGATCACTTCAAAACTCCCTCTGGAGAAATTTAAAAATGAAAGTTTGAGAGCTGCTAAGCTTTAAGGAAAGGAAATAGCATCAGTGGGGAATAGCACACAAGAGAACACATCTCTACCTCTGCCTCACAGTGATGGAGAGAAGGCTTCATGAAGGGAGGCATCCAAGGCATCTTCTGTAATTATTTTCCCCACTTCAAGCTCCCCCCCCCAATATAATGGAGAGACAGAGGGAGAAACAACTCCCAACCTAGAAAAACTGCAGATTTGATGAGGAAGACAGTCACTGCCCTCAGGGAGCCTTCTTCTGATGAAGAAGTCAGACACAAGGAGTAAGAAATGACAAAATTATAGAACTTAACTAGGGGAAGTGCAGAGATGCTGATGAGGGTGAGTGGAGGTGTGGAGACTATTAGAGTGGGAATACTTTCTGGGAGAGGAGTCTGCAATAGCATCCAGGAGAGACCGACAGCAACCAGAGGGCAAAGATAAGGAGTGGAAGGGTGGAGAGGGGAGAAAAGTGGAGAAGAGATGATGGAGGGAGAGAATTGAGGAGGCTCTGAACCAGGATTAGCCGGCTGGGACAGACATAGGCTGCCGCCCTCAAGCCACCCGGATTGACTTAATGAGAATTGGCTTATGGCCAGAGCTGCGGTTTTGCGGCTGGCGCAGCTGGGGGGAAGTGAAGGGAGAGAGGTTAAAGGGATCGATGCTGTTTTGCACTGTAGATGCTGCTGCTGTGGGAAGTCCCGGCGGCCCAGATGCTTCTGCTTTCACACATAGGGCGGAGGACAGAGAACCTCCCTCTACAAACAGGCACACTGGACCGAGGGACCCTGACTGTAAGGAGGGGGGAAGACTGAGCAGAGGGGACAACTGTCCTGGATGTATCATTGCCTAAATATGTAATGATGGTGGTCACTTTACTTCTCACTCTCTCCCTTTCTTAATTTGTAAAATTAAGGATTTG